TGTGCACGCATGAACACATCAACATTGAAACAGATCAGCAGCAACATGAAACAGATCAGCAGCAACATGAAACAGAGCAGCAGCAACATGATATGGTTTTTCACAGTGATTATTCTAGTTAGAGATTCATGAGTCTAACAGCCTCAGGGTAGAAGTTGTTCCTCAGTCTAGTGGTTCTACACTTAATGCTCCTTAACCTCCTTCCTGAGGGGAGTGGGGCAAAAAGTATGTGTGCTGGGTGGGGTCCTTCATGATGCAGGTGGCCCTCTTCCTGCATCTGGAGGTGTAGATGTCTGTGATGGTGGGGAGACTGATTCCGACAGATTTCTGTGCAGCTTTCACCACTCTCTGCAAAGCTTTTTTTTCTGCAGCTGTGCAGCCTCCATGCCACAAGTTGATGCTCGAGCACAGGATGCTCTCCACTGCACACCTGTAGAAGGAGGTGAGGACTGAGCTTCCCATACTAGCTCATCTCAGTCATCTGAGGAAGTAGAGTCTCTGATGAGCTTTCTTGATCAGGCTGGTGGTGTTGTTGCTCCAGCTGAGGTTGTCATTCATGTGTACACCCAAGTACTTGTAGCTGGAGACCACTTCCACCGCAGATCCTCTTATGTTCAGGAGTGATAGGTGTGTTTGTTCCTTCTGAAGTCCACAACCATCTCCTTCGTCTTCTTCACATTGATGTGAAGGTTATTCTTTTTGCACCAGCTCTCCAGGTGTTCCACCTCCTGCCTGTAGCTGGACTCATCATTGTTTGTGATGCATCCCACCACCGCTGTATCATCTGCAAACTTTACAATATGACAGCCTGGATGGGTAGCTGCACAATTATACATGAGCAGAGTGAACAGGAGAGGGCTCAGCACACATCCCTGAGGGGAGCCAGTGCTGAGGGTTATGGTGGAAGAAGAGAAGTTGTGGATCCTCACTGACTGTAGTCCGTTTGTTAAGAAGTCTAGGACCCAGTTGCACATGGAGGGGCTTAGTCCTAGTTTGAATATTTTGTCCATCAGTGTTTGGGGGATAATTGGTGTTGAAGGCAAACGTGAAGTCCACAAAGAGCATACAGACGTAGGAATCCTTTTGCTCCAGGTGGGTGAGAGCAGTGTGGACCACAGAGGAGATGGCGTCCTCTGTTGATCGATTCTTGATGTATGAGTACTGGTGAGGAGCCTCGTTAATGCTGATGTTAGCTTTGAAGTGGATCATGATCAGTTTTTCGAAGCATTCAGTGACTATCGGGGTGAGAGCCACGGTACAACATATCTGAAAAAAATGACCATTTGTCAAAAGGAAAGTATCTTTATGACCATTTGAGAAGCTCTGAGAAATAAAAAAACACATTTAGTGTGAATACAAACTATGTTCCCTCAGCTGTTATTTCTTCCTAATTTATTTTTTTTTTCCTGATGAAAACATCTGCTAATGTCATTAATATTTATATATATATATATATTTAATCTCAGTTCAAATAGTGCAAACTGTAGATGGTCAGACATCCTACAGTAATTTTATTTAACGGACTGTTCTTGTTTTTGCTTTGAAGAGCTTTTGGAGCACATTTTTCCCCCCACAAAATTATATGTCTACGTTCTTTTTTTTTTTTTTTTTTTGTAACTTCAGCAGCAATGAAAATAAAACTCCTGGAAATGTGGTGACATCTAAATGACCCAAGCCTTAAATATTGAATGAGTTTATGCTTTTCTCATATTATGCATGATAAAGTAACATAAAAGAAACCTACACTACATGACCTATAGTTAGTTTTGCTCTAACTCGCTCTCTAAGTGTAAAAGTGTAATTTTCCAGTGAATTGGGAACTGGGTTACAATAACTTCTATTCATCTTTGGACTCTACTCAAAACTAATTAAATGGAGTTCCACTGATGTTCCAAGAGAAAATATATTGGGGCTCATTTTCATTCCTGGAGTGCCAGAGGAAGTGTCTTTTACTGGAAAAGACATTTAAGATGATTAAGATCAAACTGCAGTTAAAGACAAACCAGCGTTTTGGTGCAAATATTTTAGACCTTATAAATGATTGCAGAATTAAAGACCTAGCATTTCTTGAAGGAATACAAGTTGCTTTTATGCCAGAGTTCTGAACTAAACTTAGCACATGCTTAGAAATAATGCTAAATGATGTTAAACAAGATCTCATGCAAATAATACTGTAATATGTTGGAACATCTTGTAAAATGTGGCAGCCTTCAGAGTATGTGTTGCAAGCAACACTCAGCTACTACCATGCCAAATCTTAGCTGAATATCTGTAAAACTGACTGAGTTAGAGTCATTCATGTGCTGGATAAGGTCAGTTAGCTGTGGCAGCCATCTTGAATTGAAGTGACTCCAAAAGTTAATCAAATGTGGACATAAATTAATTGTCTACTTTCAGAGAGTTCCATTAAAGTCTGTTGAGTGTTTCATGAGATATTTTGCTAACAGACAGACTGTATTGATGTCAACTGTTAATACCCATTTAAGCAAAACTTTAGTACAATGTGATCATTGTACTATAACAAAAAATGTATTGTGAATGTGACGTAGCCACTGCCGCAACAAATTTGACCTCGATATCTGTAGAATTTTCTGAACTGGAATTGGCTGATGGGAGTGGTGGTGCAGAGATTAGAGATGGTAGGCCTGTGATCAGAAGATCGCCAGTTCAACTCACGATACAGACAACATCATAATGTGAGTAGGATAGGTGAAGCACCAACACCTGCCTCCACTCTCATTTGCCCCACTCTGGGCCCTTGAGCAAGGCCCTTAACCTCCACCATCTGCTCCCCTGGGTGCCCTAGATAGCAGCTCTCTGCTCCACACAGAGGGCTGTGGTAGCTCGGTGGTCTGTCAGGAAGGGCATCCGGTGTAAAATAAATAAGTAATAATAATAATTGCCCAGTCTTCATGTGACTGGTGACCCCTGAAGAAGGGCGCAGCCGAAAGAAGAAAAAAAATCTGTAGAACTGGCTGCGTTAGACATTTTGTGTTTTCTGAGGTCAGTTGTCTATGGCAGCCATCTTGAAATGCATTTGCTCCAAAAGTTTATCTAATTGTAGACATGCCCATTATTAATGTTCTGCTAGTTTGTTTAAAATGTCTCCAGTGGTTCTTTAAATATTTTTACTAACTTTACAGATGAACCTAGAGACAAAATCGTGAACGCCGCATTGCTTCCACAGCAGCCAATAAATAGCAGGAGATACTAGAGTAGCTAAAATAAGGTCTAACTTTCTTCCGTGTGCACTGACATGATTCTTCCTTCTGACTAAAATCTCAAGATCGGCGAGTCCGTTTTTATCCCAAAAGTATGACGAAGCCTGACAGGCGGAGCAACAATAATCCATAAAAGTGATCCAAGCCTGAGCAAGAGATGAGGATTATTTTAAGAGGCGTATCTAATGCCATTAGACCCCGGACACTTGGCACCATGTCCAAGTTCTATATTACAGACCAAGGCAGGTGCACGAAAGAAGAGGCAACCCTAAAAATATCCTTGAGTGTCTTAATGCAAACTAGAAGACACTTCTCAGTCCTCAAAGATGTTTAACGTTTCAACAAGTAAAGAGAGGGTTATTGCTACAAAAAAAAATCTACTTATATTCCTGAACATTTCATATGAGTACCATAATATATGCTAAAGATGTAGTCTAATGGATAACATGAAGCATTCTCCACTGGCAGTTTGTGAAGCAGTTAACATTTCTCAAATAGGAAGCAGATTAGAGACTCGTCAGCTCTAATTGGGGTTTAAACCCATCCTGTCGGGATGCTGAACTTCCACAGCATCCAGACAGATCAGATGTCCAAGTCACAGTTTGGGGCTGAAATATCTGATAAATTATCAGGTAAACACGTGGCTGCATTCAGACACCACCCCACCCACCCCTACCCCCACAGAAATGAACAATGCCTCCAGGACTTGAGTGGACTTAGAGAAAATATGTCTTGTCATACAACCAGGGGCGGTTCCAGAATGTTTTCTAAGGGGTGGTCATTTGGGGGCACTGATCATTTTGGAGTGGCAGAATTTAGAACGTGGGTGTCATTTATAGTCTGGTTGAAAAACTCTGCTAAGTGGGAGTCAGTGAATCACCTTTATGATATAATATTAATTGGGGCGGGGGGGGGGGGTAATTATTATTATACTGCTGATTAAAACTAATTGAAACTTATTGAAGCTTGTCTTCTCCTCACTCCAGTTCATCTTCATAAACAAAAGCACTCTTCAAAAGAAACCAGCTCGCCCACCACCTTACCAGTTTTAAACAAAGATGTCCGGAGTGTCTTGATCTGTTAGGTCTCAAGTTGTGTGCTTAGGATACTTCCACACCAAACTGGAGCTCATTGTTTGTAAAACTGGCAGAGGCATAAAGCTGTTGTACAACCAATTATTACTTCCTGAAAGTTTCATTAATATCAATCCAGTGTTTTATTAAATGTTTTGCTAAAAGACAGCCAAAACAAGTATTTTACATTAAAAGATGTCTGCACTGGGAGGTGGTGCCCCCCACCCCCACCCACTTTATATCACCTCTGCAGACAGCAGACATTCTCCTTTATGCTCAGACAGACAGCAGTGGCAGCAAAATGATCAGATCTTGGTCAGAATGTTTAAATGATAAGGCACTAAATTCTATTTAAATCAATTCAAGTGCATAATAATTTACAAAGAAAATTATAAACTCACAGTAAAAAAAAAGGGGGGGGGGGGCGGTTTGAACTAAAAATGTGAAGGAAAAAATGGAAAACGTATTCATTCAGTAAGATTTATTAAGTAAAGCGCGTCAGTTACACCTTTATAAAGCCTTTCGTGCAGAGCCTCCCTACTTGTCACTCCCCATGTAACATATAAAGGCGTATCAAAAGTCAAGTGTTTGGGAACTACGAATCCCAGAGCAGCTCCTTAAAAAAAAAACCCTGAGCACCCACTTGTGCCTCCTCCCCAAAGGATTGAATGTCCAGAGGAATCCCGTCACCCCCCTTTTGAAAGTACATATTTGACAGGACAGAGCCAGGCAGAGCCCGCAGTCCAGCTCAGCCTTCAGTCAGGCACAGACTCTCTCCCCCCTCCAGTCTCGTTCCTTTGCTCTCCTGTTGGTTTTGTCGGTGCTACCGAACAGCAACAAGCAGCCATGGACGCCATCAAGAAGAAGATGCAGATGCTCAAGCTCGACAAGGAGAATGCCTTGGACAGAGCTGAGCAGGCAGAATCAGACAAGAAAGCAGCTGAGGACAGAAGCAAACAGGTCGGATACCCTTCTCTTTTTTTTTTTTTTTTTTTTTTAATTTGATGGAAAACACCAGAAATATGTAGAAAAGACAGCTTTAAATGTGAACGGATCGCCTCCCACGATTATTTTCATGGATAAGTCCAATTAAGGACTACTTTTTATTGTTCCGTTTAATTTAAAGGGAAATCCTAATGATAAATAAGTGTAAGTGTTAAAAAAAATGTGTATAATGAATGTTTTGTTTAACTTTTAAACGTGTCTTTGCATGCATGTGTAGTTAGATGACGAAATAAGAGAGTTGGAAAAGAAATTGCGCGTAACGGAAGACGAGAGAGATAGAGTTTTTGAGGAGTTCCAAACTGCTGAGGAAAAACTGTTGGGTGCCGAAGAGACCGCCACCAAGGTATCTGGACCTGAAGTGCATGATGAGCTTCTCTAACTTCTTTTCTTTTCTCCCTGTCCCTGTCCTCCTCCCCTGTCCTGTCCTGTTCCTTGCTGTCTCTCTGTGCGCTCTGTGCGCCTTTGCGCACTCACGCCAACTCCATCTCTCCGCCGATCACCTCTGAAACTGTCCTGCACTGAAAACACACACACACACAATGATGAAACCATCAGCTTGAGGACGACTTGGTGGCTCTGCAGAAGAAGCTGAAAGGAACCGAGGATGAGCTGGACAAGTACTCCGAGGCTCTTAAAGACGCCCAGGAGAAACTTGAGCTGGCTGAGAAGAAAGCCACCGATGTAAGTAGGCAAGGGGATCACAAGTACAACCATTTTCCTCCTCACCACGCTGCTTCACACTTTCATCTGGGACACAAATGACAGTTCAGCTCTTTTTATTTTCATTTCCCTAAAAAAAATCATTTAAAAACGTGTATTTGCTTGGTGCGTTTGAAACCGCAACTCCCAGACATTTGGCTACAAGATACCTAAACTTTGGTGTCATCAAAACACTGTTGAACTGTCTTTTATGTTTCATCAAGAATCACATGCACATTCACTTTTTAATTCAGCCCAAAGGAAGACTAAATCACCAGGTCATGATAAAGAAAGAAAGAACACAAGCCAGTGATTTTAATTCAACAAGCCCACATGTGGCTTGTTTCAGTCTGAATACTAAACTTCTCACATGCATGCCTAAAGACTAAATATGCTCATGTAGATCTTTTTTCAGAGGGGTAAGTAGAGCTGCAGACTTCCCAGGAGCTCCCAGAGTCAGCGCCTGGATAAATATAGCCCACTGCTTTATATGGTCAGGATAGAGCTCACATCAGCCAGCTGCGCTCCTTTGCTTACCGCAGACAAAAATACAGTTTCAGCTCAAAGCGTCCCTTGCTAATTTAAGAAAAATGCACACAATCATCCTGCTCGTTCAAATTAAATGTATATTTTTTTATTCTGGATTAATTTAGATAAAAATAATAGGTGAGGGGAAAAAAACATTTTGGCATTAGAGACACTGATGATAGAAAAAAGCAAGCTTTTCACTTACACA